GGTCCGAGCAGTCAGTTATCAAATGGTATACAGGAGTCCTTAGAGCTGGACCAACATGGCCCGAATCAGTTCYAATAACTGACCTGTACCAGGTACAAGGCCACAATTCACATGTTTGTTTTTCATAGAAAAAAATCTTTTACAGGTTACTAACAAAAGTTTTATGCAGCTTCTTGTTTGAGCGTACGATCATCGTACTATTGTATTACAAGTATTTAATATTGAGCCAAAGAGCCAGTGACTCAAACCTTTCATGAAATCAAAAAAATATGCAAGCTTCCTAGAAAAGCCTAATTTATAATTTGAAAATGACCGTTAATTCAATTTTTTCTTCTCCTTTTTCCATGTTTTTTTTCATTGTTCAGGCATAGCTCTGTTGCATGGTCTCATACATACATACATTAAAAAAATTCTGTAAACCTTAAGGGAATATTATCTACAAAGAAAGTTCCATGATAATTTGTAAAAGTCTGTGATGATAAATCCTGTAGCTAAACTTTCTTGAATGACTAATTTTGAACAAGATGTATGATGACTCCCTTTCCCCCACCCCTCCCCCTGCTTGGATTTTATAAAGCTGGTTACCCCCGCCTGATCTAGGATAAAGATGTGGAAGTCTTGCCATTCCATTCATTGAAATACCTCATTATGTACGTATAAATATTTCAAAGCTTTGTGGAATATAATTGCTTTTTGAGTAAATTTGCTTACTTTAGTATTTGAGCACAAACTGTACTCACCCCGGGTACTCACCCAGCCAGTAAGTCTTKTCACAAATCCACTTTACAGCATAAAACTCTCAAATAAACCTGTTCAAAAGAATTTCGTAAGTTCAATTATTGCGAATATTGTAAAGTGAGATTGAATCTACAGGAGGTATTATCAAGAAAGCAATAAAGCTATCAACTTGCCTTTTGACCGATGATAATTCACCTCATTTACTTTTTCATTCGCTTATGATTCTAGAATGTTGGGGTCCCTGTGCACTAAAAACTTCGAGTAGGCCTAGAGAATACTTCATTGACTTCCGGTTGAATCGGAAGTTRATGCTTACATCTAGTCGAGGCCAAAATATTCCCTTTCTAAGACTGCTTTCTGAACCATTCTTTTTGGCCGATAATAAAATCGTATTTAYTTGGCCATTATATGATATATTTTGAACCATGCCTGGGGTAGAAAAATACATTTTGAAGGTGAAAAAGAAGTTAATATCAAACGAGCTTGAAGAAAGAAAGGTAAAATCGAATAAATGAGTCAATAAATCCCGAAAATCGTAGCAATATTGACGACAAAATTTGTGAAAATCAAAACTTGTAACGTTCAAATTTTGTTTTTTTCTCAAGATTTTAAAATATCTAAGGCACTTAGACCAGCTAGAGGTTAACGTAGACATCTTAAAGGTAAAGTAGGATGTATTATACTCTGTAAGAGGACATTTTGGGGTTTTTTGAGCCGGGTTTTATTATTTTATGTTGAATCACGTCTGCACAAACAAAGCAGTTTGAGTTGAAACAATCAATGRAAGGAATTACTTATACCTCGTATCATCACAGGGATTATTTTCTCTGATGAAACTTTCACTATCGCGTCTTCTCTATAGAAACTTCATAAGAATATACTCCGAACAYACGAGGAAAAATAATCTAATCATCTGACGATAATACACGAGAAAAATATGTTGAATAATACCGTGTTATTTATCTCAATGTTATAACAAATTGAAACTGGAAAGAATACTTCTTCAAGATGGTTTGTTTTTATTACATCTTGACTTGTTGTTTATGATGTGTATAAGTTTTGTAAAATATTTGGTTATTTTCATAACGGTTTATTACTTATTWTATTAACATAGAATACCGGTATTGGAAAAATTGTAAATGCACTGAAGAAGCATGAAGGACCTGTTTGTGATGCAGCGAACAATTTGGTTACAAAATGGAAAAATGTTGTTATCARTAACAAGAATATGGAGAATACCAAAGAGAGTGTAGGAAAATATTTGCATTCATTGACGTCATCAAAATTAGCAGGATCGTCATCATTATTGAACAGTGAAATTGAGATCGAGCAGTCTGAAATACAGCGAAACAGAGGAAGCGAAATAAACGAAAGGGAAAAGAAAGAAAGGGAGAAACGGAAAACAGAAAAGGACAATCACACCAAAACAAAGGTATTTCCACCTCAACATATTCAATTGTTTATACTCATTTTTTGTTGATGAAGAATGTATGTACATGTATGTATAGGTACGTACAATGCAATGCAAGAAGTGAAGATTGCTCTAAAAATTGTGTATTCAAAGTTCTTTTCAATATGTGCTATATCCGTTTTGGCTGCGCTTTATCATCAGTTAGGAAGTGACGGGAAAATTGAAAGCAAGACAAACGAAAATTAAATTAATAGTTTTGGAAGTCAAAGATGGTGAATGATTTTTTTAAAATAATCTTTTACACTGTTTCTTATTAATATTGCTTGCAAACTTTAATTTATTWTTWTTTTTTCCCATTATTTTCTCAGCAAATACATTTAATAATTGGCCRTGTTTAGTTCTAGGTTTGTTGTTAATTYGTGTGCACCTCACTTCCGGGGATTTTCCCCGAGCTTCCTGCATTTCCCCTCTTCAGGAAAGGCTGTCGTCTAAGACCAATGTCGTTTCAGAAATTCCACATTAACTTCTTTAAGGTCGAGACAGAGAAATCTATTGTTCAAACTAGTATTTTCAATGATAATCTTTTATCATAAAGAAATATCAAATGACTAGTTTCAATTGATAGAAGCAGYATGTACCTAGCTGTTACATTCAAATGAAGTTTCACTGAACGAGTATTTAATTCAGTCTGTGATTTAAATACAAACTTTAAAAAAACAAAACTGAAAGTCTTCACTCGCCATTTAGTGGTATTTACATGAATATGATTACTCTGCATAGCGACAAGGACAGTCAGGCCTGTAATTAATTCATTTTGATTTTCAGCGAAGAAAATTCTTTTGTCCAATTTTTAGCTGKAAAAATATAAGCAAAAATAAAATCTTTTATTTTTTAAAGTAAAGTGTACAATATGAGTGGTTGATCAGCAGTATGGCATAATGGTTTTGACATAATACTCCATATTTTTACAGTTCCGTTCAGTGACCACAAATAATAGTTCCAAGCCAAGGCAGGAGTTGCCGTGAATGATAAACTATGGTTTTGCTATGCACAGAAACTCCAACCTCGACATAAAACTATTGTTCGTGGTCATTGAACGAAGATATAAAATAGAGTATTTACAATAGTCTACTTTCCTTCTGGTTTTAGTGTCATCACGCAACATAATCCTATTTTATAGATATAATTTGGTTTTAATCTTATTTCAACATCAATTTTTTTTAAGTTGTAGTTTATTTTCTTTATTTTATTGGATGATTAAATAATTATTGATATTTTTTTATTTATAGGCTCCATCTCTTCAACTCTGTGATATATCATTTGGTTGTGAAATAAGTAAAGAAAGCAAACCAAAGAAAAGACATCGACCACACCCTTCCACGGCATCACAACCATCTTCGACATCAAGAAGAGACAATTCATCTTATCACCATAGCAACCAGGAAATTGATGACCACACAGCAAGCCCCTATTACTTACCCCCTCTACCATCAGCTGCATTCGTTAATGAAGCTCTTCTACCAGATATCCAGCCAACATATAAGCCATCAAGACTACCCTCCATTGATGATTCTCCCATCAAGAAACGAGGAGGTTTATATTATATATTCATAAAATATTTGAGATAAAATGTGCACGCTGATAGGCTGGATAGAATATTTGAGATATATAATGTGCATGCTGATTGGCTGGCTACTGTGTTTTATATTAGTGTCTGTAGGCACCCTCACACAAAATGYTTCAAAAATATTTTATAAAAGCAATATAAAATGCCTGCTTATATCTCTGTACCGTGATCAATATTCTGCACTTTGGGATCTGTAGAGCACTTGTAAAGCAAAGAAATAAATTATGTTTTGATCTCTAGGAGACATTGACGGAACATTTGTTGGGGCAATCAAGTCAAAGAAGTCGAAAACGCAAGTATTCTCCGGACGAAAAAATCCAGCATCCTGTGGAGGTAAGTTGTCATCCCCTTGAATTGAGTATTATTCCTTTGTTTACAAGTAATATTTGAGAAATAAAACATTACTTGAGATGTAGAAATCATAATTATTAAGAATCGAGTTGTCAATTCATGGAAATGATTGACGTCTGGTCTATGCCCAAGCAAGTGGATATAATTATATAATAATATAGTATATTATTATAAAAGTATAATAGTTGTATCCCATTTTTCATGTCACTGTGTTTTTTCTTTTTTTCAGTTGTAACTTCACTGTTTGATAGCTGTATAAGAGTCTTACTAGAGCACATTGATGGTAAGATCATGTATGAATCATGTTGATATCATACAAGTGGAAGGGGGGAGGGTCATTGATGATTTGAGATGACTACCTCGTGGAATCATATCGCTCGGTCTTTAACTTTGATGAACGGACATTTCTAACCTGATAACATTTTTCATCTGTTCTTATACAGCCCTTAACGACACTGGTGGTGTACCCTATGATATTCTATACCCTGTTTTAGTCAAGTAAGTATACACTATGAATATTCATTCACCTCAGTTGTTTCATGCTGCTGCTCCCACCATATATGTTGGTTTGCACTTAATCTTGCGGCCCCCTCCATCACATTTAGAAATTAATTTATTAATGTTCATTGCAAAATTATCATTTGAACCTTTTTTTCTTGCAGATGCAACCCCCAGCAGCTGTTACATCTGGAGGAGTATAATCCTGTGAGTATAATACGAGTGAAATGTAATGGAAAACAGTTTAGAAAATAGAAAATAGTTTCCTTTTAGATTGGTACCATATGAAGCATGACCTTGAGTTTTTTCATATTTTAACCAGAAAACATAAAAGCACAAACATTTCTTTTAGTCTCAGATCGCCTATTTCAGATCGCTGGCCGACAAAGTTTTTTGAAATAGGTGTATGTGTGGTGAAACATGTATTCCTTCAGTCGTAACAAACTTTGGTAGGATCTTGGATGTCTACAGACAAATCAGAGAAAAATTTTTCAGACATTTCCATCAAAATGACTTCATTCTACTTCACACCATTTAAGATTGTGTATCATTCCCTTGGGTATTATTTCCTTCGTTTACTAGTCTAGTAATTGCTGAGAAAATAATTATAATAAAATGATATGGAATAAGAACTCAATAAAAGAATTTTAATTTTCAAGGGAATGATAAGTGGTAGGGGATGGAGAACTTTCACTGCATTTATTTTACTCCCACTCCAATTTTCCCCCTTACTTCCCCTCCCCCCTGTAATTTCTTGGCAGACATCGCTAACCAAAAACACTTTTTGCAGTATTTCATTGAAGAATCAGATGAGCTATGGATGGCTCATTATCGACGTGAATTCAAATGTGAGAAGAAAGTTGACGGTCTTTCATGGCGAGATTCTTATCTGGTACGTATCACAACTTTCAAGGGGATACATTTTGCATTGATTGAGGACTTTTTCCATCTCACACTTATGTTATATTTGTTCACTAAATTTTGATAGCAAAAATGCCAAGAACGAGAAGAAAAACTTGAAAAAATCAATGCGAAGATTGCTGCAGCCCAGGCAGCCAAAAAACCAGGTAAACTGAAGAAAGAATACAAAGAATTTTCAAGGGAAGTGTTTGTCTATCTTTTTGTTGACGGTTAAGTAAAAGTGTTAATACAAACCCAAGTAAGAAATCTTCAATTGATTCCATCTATTCACTCTTATTCATTCAGTTTGACATCTTTTCGAATTTGTTTCCATTTATTCTCTCTTTCATTCTCACTCACATTTTTTACGTTATTTTCTCGTTATCTCAAAGTTTGTCTTAAATATTATTTTTATTATTATTTTACTATTTTATGCAAATTAGCAACAGCCAATTTTGAGAGCCTCATATATTTTACAACTGTTAAGTCATTGCATTTACCTACAGAACGGCAGGTCAAGTTAGCATTTGTGACATCAGAAGCCAAGCCGCCTCCTCAGATCCGCCGAAAACAGGCACGGTACGGTACAGGACATGGCATTGAAATACCCATTATCTCACCAATCAAACGCTCGTCTGCTCCAAAATCTTCCCACTCGTCAAAACCAAGCAGTCATGTGTTGCAATCGTTTTCTGCTGCTCCTGCTCCTGCACCACTGGCTAGAAGATTGGGTAAGAAAATGATGTGCACAAACATTCACACCTCATGTCCTGGGGAACTTCAAACCTCTTACTAACATACCAAGGACTTGTATATTTTGTTTCAGGCCAAGCACCAATGATGAAGAAAACCATGAAACTGTTAAAGAATCAAAGGTAGGATATACTGTACATTGATTCCAGACATGTCAATTGATTCCAAGCATGATAATTTGTAAAATCAGCAAAACTAGTAGAATACAGACGAAAATATTATGGTACAGATGTGTAGCCAGGCATGCCAA